CTTCTGCAACCTTTCCTCATAGGTTTTGTTTTCCGTACCTCTTATCTGATCTTGCTCCAGTTTGTCCATATCCTTCTTCAAAAACAGGAAGCAATACTCCATATAAGGCCCGACCGATGCAGAAAGCAGTGGGACTATTATTTATCTCGACTTGGAAAGTATACCTCTGTTAATGCAGGTCAAAATGGCATTCACTGTCATAGCTGCTGCATCACACTGCTGGCGCAGTGTCAGCTTACAATCAATAACCCTGAGGTCGTCTTTGCATGTGGTTATTGCTGAGCAATGTATCTCCCATCCCACATTAGATTATTGTGGCCTAAATGTAGAATTGTGCATTTGTCTCCTACAGAAATTAATTTTAGTCATTTCAGTTCTGTAATTTATCTCTGTCCTTTTGATTTCTCTTCTTATCTTCCAATTTGTGTCATTCAAATTCAGGTCCCAACATTCCTCTAAGCTGTCTCGACATCTAACCACATCTTTGTTGGTCCCTATTCCATCACAATTGATGGGGACACTCGATTATTTTGATTATTTTAACCATTTTAAGTGATTTTAATTGACTTGTACCTTGTGTTATTTCAAATTGTGTTGTTTTTAAGGATTGTAAGCCGCTTTTCACCTCAATCAAGAGAAAAAAAGCTGGAGTAATAATAATAGGAGACAGGGCCTTCTTGGTCTCTGTCCCCAGGCAATGGAATTCCCTCCCACAAAAGGCTTGGTTGAGCCCCTCTTTGTTTTCTTTCAGATGGCAAAGACATTCTTATATTGTCGAAGGCTTTCATGGCCGGAATCACTGGGTTGTTGTAGGTTATTTGGGCTATATGGCCATAGAGAAATGCCTCTAGAACATGGCCATATAACCTGAAAAAACCTACAACAACCCAAAGACATTCTTACTTCCTGAAGTGTTTGATTGGCAGCTGCAGAAGTTATTTAATTGGTGTTTATTTGCCCCAGCATTGTTATGTTGTGTTCATGTTTTAACTGTTTAAATTAGAGCTTTCCAAACCATGTTTTGCAACATGTTAAAGTGTTGACTGTGGTCATAGATGTGTCACATGAACATAATGAGAGACTTCTGAGTCTATGTGAAATAAGCAATAAATCATATATCCTAACTGAATTACTGTGTCGCGAAATGATGCATGTTAAATTGATGTTTTTAAGACAGCTGTTTATTCTATTGCTTCTGAGCCTCTGGGTGATTTATAGATTTAATGATATTTGGTCTTGTTGTGAGTCATCTTAGATCCCATATCGGGAAGGCCACAAAATTCCCATCCCACAGAGGAGGGAGGTTGGAGAATAGGAAGTGAAAGGTATGGAGTATGTGGGTCCTTTGGGGCTTTTGCTGGAGCTTAGAAAGAAAAGAAGGCTTTCCTTGATAGCAAAAGATTTTCACCATCTTCTTTTTGTTGCTTTGATTCTCTTGCTCCCACTCTTCTCAGTATGGTCAGAACTGGTGACATTTGTGGGTCTTGCCTCAGGTTGTGATGGCAACAACATGTTTGGCAAAGCAGGCAAGGATCTGACGATCGTCGCCCTTTCCTTTGCCATACTTGTTGTGCTTTAGCAGGCTAGGAAACTAGATGGTTGTTATGCAAAGCCCCCCCTCTGATTTGGGAAACAAAGAACATATCCCAGTTTGGGGCACACAAGTTCCTGCCCCTTTGTCCTTGGGGTTAGCAGAGGCTTTGACCTGTTTTGAATGAGGATACTGATGGTGGGGAGGAACAGATGTCATGGGAATCCCATTTGAGTTTTGCTGCTGACCTTTCCTTGCAACCCTGAACCAGTGACTCTGAGTATCTCTCTGTTTCAGCACAGACAGTTCCCACGAGTTGGAGGGTTTTCCTGAACAGTGCAAGCCCTGTTGCAGAGCTATAGGGTGCCTCTGTTCTGAAGCGGAAAGCCCCTAGGCCTGAAAAAGCAGGGAGGATATCTCAAGAGCACCAGGCTTCAATCAAAGCAGAACATTGGTTCTATCGTGCTGGCTATTTCTGCACTTGCCTCCTTCAGCAAATGCTTTCTATAGGACCTGTCTTTGAAGGAACCCCTCTACCTTTCCTTAATGTCTCTAATCAAGTATTAATATGTATGAAGGCATTTAATATTCCCCCCTGTGGGTACATGTTGTGACTGATACCATATAGTAATAAGTTGATGGTAGAGACCACCAGAGCTTGGAATTTTTTTTAATTCAAAAAGAAATATTGATTTTACTATTTTACATAATTATATTTTACTACGCCCAGTGTGGAACACATCTCACCACGCTAAATCAGTAGATGTGGCTCTTAATGAGACATGCCGCATTATCACGGGATGTCTGCGCCCTACACCACTGGAGAAATTACACTGTTTAGCTGGTATTGCACCACCTGACATCCACTGGGAAGTAGCAACCAATAGTGAAAGGACCAAGGCAGTGACATCTCCAGCTCATCCCTTGTTTGGGTATTAACCAGCACGTCAAAGACTTAAATCAAGAAATAGTTTTCTAAGATCTACAGAGACACTCGCTGGAACACCTCAGCAAGCGAGAGTCCAAAAGTGGCAGGCTCAAACCCAGGACCTCAATCAATGGCTGATACCAAACGAGAGACTCCCCCCTGGGCACACAGAAGACTGGGCGACTTGGAAGGCGCTGAACAGACTGCGCTCTGGCACCACAAGATGCAGAGCCAGCCTCAAGAAATGGGGCTACAAAGTGGAATCCACGACATGCGAGTGTGGAGAAGAGCAAACTACAGACCACCTGCTGCAATGCACCCTGAGCCCTGCCACATGCACAATGGAGGACCTTGCAGCAACACCAGAGGCACTCCATGTGGCCAAATACTGGTCAAAGGACATTTAATCAACTACCAAGCTTGCAAACTTTGTGTTTTGTTTGTTTGTTAAAAAATGCAATGCAACTGTTTGGTCTGCCCCTGACATGATAAATAAATACTACACCATTGTTTAGAATGGGATCTGCAAAGGGTCTTAGAATTGAACTTCAGTGGATGCCAAGGGCCCATTGTATTTTAAGCCAAACTTTCCAAGCTTTATCCTGAGAGGCAGCCCTCCTCATGCTGTTGGATTGCAGCTCCCAACATTCTTCATCATTGGCTGTGATGGGTAGGGGCTGCTGAGTGATCTAGTTTTACAATATTATATGAATCACAGACCTGCTTTATCACCATTTCTTATCAGGAATAACACAGTTTTAGGTCTGTGAAAATATTTACTTTTCCAACAGTGATTGCCTTTGAACAAACATCTTTTAAAAACACAACTTTGAGTCTGAGTGGGGCTTGGAACTCAAGGGCAGGTTCCTTTAGTCTCGGTTTGCTATCTTGGTTGTGCCAGTTCTCCTCTTTTGTTGTGTTCTCTGTTTGGGAACGTAACAATCAAAGCAAGAATAGTATTTTGATCTTATCCTGAGGTGTACTTCGTCTGAAATTGGAGGTTCATATTTAGGTACAGGTCTGATGGGGGCTTGGAACTGATTTATGTATTTATTTATCGTGTCAGGAGCAACCAGACATTTGTATTACGTTTTAACAAAACAAACAAACAGACAGACAAAAAAAGAAGTTTGCAAGCTTGGTAGTTGATTAAATGTCCTTTGACCAGTAGCTGGCCACTTGGAGTGCCTCTGGTGTTGCCGCAAGAAGGTCCTCCATTGTGCATGTAGCAGGGCTCAGGTTGCTGAGTGGTTTGCTCTTCTCCACACTCGCATGTCGTGGATTCCACTTTGTAGCCCCATTTCTTAAGATTGGCTCCGCATCTCGTGGTGCCAGAGCGCAGTCTGTTCAGCGCCTTTCAAGTCACCCAGTTTTCTGTATGCTCAGGGTGGAGTCTCTCATTTGGTATCAGCCATTGATTGAGGTTCTGGGTTTGAGCCTGCCACTTTTGGACTCTCGCTTGCTGGGGTGTTCCAGCAAGTGTCTCTGTAGATCTTAGAAAACTATTTCTTGATTTAAGTCGTCAACGTGCTGGCTGATATCCAAACAGGGGATGAGTTGGAGATGTCACTGCCTTGGTCCTTTCACTATTGGCTGCTACTTCCTGGCGGATGTCAGGTAGTGCAATACCGGCTAAACAGTGTAATTTCTCCAGTGGTGTAGGGCACAGACACCCCTTGATAATGGAACTGATACAAGGAGGTTTAGGAGAGCATAGAGCTTGGAAAGACTTGAAGGGGAGACTGACTTCTCAGAGACATAAATTGTAGGCGATTCTGGGAGTTGTGATATAACCAGTGATTTCTTTTTCTCCCAGTCAGTGGAGCTTGTAAGTGGTTTTGGAAACACAGTCCTTTCACAGGCCACATCTTAGGGCTGCAAACATCTCAAGATACCCAAGGGAAGGTGAAGAGAAAGCCGCCCTAAAATCATGATGCTTATTAGGACCCACCCATGTTTGTCACAGTTGTTACATTTCTATGCTACACCACTGCTGTCCCCGTTGGCGTTTGACACATTTTCCCCGCCTGGTCAAGGCTGACTCATAATTGTGGGCCTCTCCTTTGTGCAACCGGTGCTCCCAGTTTGTTTCCTACTGAAGAATAAAAAGCCAAGTTGCTGCAGGAGTAGATTTAGGAGCAAAAGGATGCTGTTTGGGTTTTGGGGAGGATTATCTCCAGCAAACCTCATTTGGGTGCTACCGTGTCACGCGGCAGGGTTGGACAACCTTAGGTCTGCAAGCTGTTATGGACTACAGTTCCCATAAACTATCCCCATGTTCCTGGGAGCTTCTTAAGGTGATGTCCAAAGCAAAGATTCCTCTGTGTTACAGGTCAGCAGCAGGCCAATTTTACAGGTTTCGGGACCAGTTTTTCTGGCATGTTGGAGGGAAGAAGAATCATGTCCTGCAAGTGATTGTGTCATTTCCAATTGGTACAATTTCACACCATCTGGGTCATGCCTTTGTCTCTGAATTGCGCTTTGAATCCCTAGAAGGGTGACCAAATGTCTTGCCTTTATTTTCTTTTTCTGCTCTTTTAGAAAAGGCCACGGATGGCTCCCTCCAGAGTGAAGACTGGACCTTGAACATGGAAATATGTGACATCATCAATGAGACAGAAGAAGGGTAGGTGCCTGCATCTGTTTGTAATGCTGTAAGATCCCAGGTTTCAATCCCTCCACCTCCAAATGGAAGAGGACTCTACCTGAAGACCTAGGGAAGCATTGCTGCTTACATAGACCAAGGCTCTAAGCGTTTCTCAACCTGGTGGTAGAGACCCCTGGGGGGGGGGGGGTCGTGCGCAGAGGCAGCCCTAGGTAATTCTCAATGGTAAGCAGACAATATTTTGCCCCTCACCCCACCCCACAACCAATCACTGATATATTTTTTCTGTTCATCGTGGGAGTTCTGTGTGCCATATTTGGTTCAATCCCATCATTGGTGGAGTTCCGAATGCTCTTTGATTGCAGGTGAACTATACATCCCAGTAACTACAACTCACATATGTCAAGGTCTATTTTTCCCCAAGAGCACCCCTGGGCAAAATCAGCTATACTGCAAATGCTTACTTTGCGTAATGGGTTGAGCCGCCCCTGGTCGCGAGGGGGTGTCAGAGGGGTCACCAAAAACCATCAGAAAACGCAATATTTTCTGTTGATCATGGGGGTTCTGTGTGGGAAGTTTGGCCCAATTCTATCGTTGGTGGGGTTCACAATGCTCTTTGATTGTAGGTGAATTATGAATCCCAGAAACTACAACTCCCACATGTCATGGTCTATTGTCCCCAAACTCCACCAGTGTTCACATTTGTGCATACTGAGGATTCGTGCCAAGTTTGGTCCAGATCCATCATTGTTTAAGTCCACAGTGCTCTCTGGATATAGGTGAACTACAACTCCAAAACGCAAGATCAATGCCCACCAAAGCCTCCGAGTATTTTCTGTTGGTTCTGTGTGCTAAGTTTGGTTCAATTCCATCATTGGTGGAGTTCAGAATGCTCTTTGATTGTAGATGAACTATAAATCCCAGCAACTACAACTCCCAAATGACAAAAATAAATCCCCTCCCAACCCTAACAGTATACAAATTTGGGCGAATTGGGTATTTGTGCCAAATTTGGTCTAGTGAATGAAAATATATCCTGCATATCAGATATTTACATTACGATGCATAACAGTAGTAAAATTACAGTTAGCAACTAAAACAATTTTATGATTGTGGGGTCACCACAACATGAGGAACTATATTCGGGGGTCACAGCATTAGGAAGGTTGAGAAACAATGCTCAATAGAAAGCCAATTTCTCTTTTCTTAAACCAGATGTGGGCAAAATTCAGCCCTAGAGACTCCGAGAGAAAGCAGGAGTATAAATGAATCAATAATTGTCGAGGCAATTAAATTTTAATGAACTAGAGTTGAATCCTGCTCTTTCCCATCTTGAGTTTTAATGCATTGTTTACTAATAGACGTGTAGCTGAAGTCCAAAATTCCGTTTCTCTGGCCTTCCTTCACCATCTTCCAAAATGCTGACACAGCAAGAAAAGCTTTTAGCTAGATAGTGGATGAGGATGAAAGAGGGAATTCTTTGTCGGAGGCTTTGTTAACCGGAATGTTTTTACTCCTCTCTCCGCTTTATTCTCACCACTTTCTGTAGCCCGAAGGATGCCATCCGAGCGCTTAAGAAAAGGCTGAATGGAAACAAAAACTACAGAGAAGTGATGCTAGCTTTAACGGTAAGAAGAGGTGGAAATAACCAAAAACAACTCTGATTGGGAAGTCCTGATCTCCTAACATGCCAACCTACCAATGAATCTGATGTCGTGAAAGAGCAATCTGTAGTAACAAAGGGAAAAATCCATCCATTTCTTGCCTATGGTCCCTTTCACAGGGATAAGTCTATGTTATCCATTTCCACATAGATATGATCATTCTTTTTTTTAAAGTGTGTGGAAACGTATGTAAATTTTTCTCAGTGAGTGTCTACCAAAAACATTTTTGTATGAAAGAATCCTTAGTGTAGGGGTCCCCAAACTAAGGGCTGCGGGTGTGTGGTGGAAGCAATGTTTACGGTAGCGGCAGATGTGCAATGAGAGTGCATGAGCAGTGGTGTGGCAGCAGTGGCAACAAGTGCGCGTGTGTGGGATGGCTGATGCACACACGGCACGTGCACACACAGAATTAAAGTCCACCCTCCAACAGTGAACTGGCCCTCCACTTTAAAAGTTTGGGGACCCCTGCCCTAGTGCATACACTCTGGTATGCCAATTCTAAGTTGAGATATACATCACAAAATTAAGAGAGGTAAAATGAATGGTCTGATCAACATGTGTTGTCAAAGGCTTTCATGGCTGGAATCACTGGGTTCCTGTGAGTTTTTGGGCTGTATGACTGTGTTCCAGAAGCATTCTCTCCTGATGTTTCACCCACATCTATGGCAGGTAGCCTCAAGGGTTGTGAAGTCTGTTGGAAACTAGGCAAGTGAGGTTTATATCTCTATAGAATAATGTCCAGGGTGGGAGAAAGAACTCTTTTCTGCTTGAGGCAAGTGTGAATGCTGCAATTGGCCACCTTGATTAGCATTGAATGGCCTTGCACCTCCAAAACCTGGTTGCTTCCTGCCTGAGGGAATCCTTGGTTGGGAGGTGTTAGCTGGCCATGATTGATTCCTGTCTGGAATTCCCCTGTTGTTTGAGTGTTGCTCTTTATTTACTGTCCTGATTGTGGAGTTTTTTTAATACTGGAAACCAGATTTTGTTCATTTTCATGGTTTCCTCCTTTCTGTTGAAATTGTCCACATGCTTGTGGATTTCAGTGGCTTCTCTGTGTAATCTGACATGGTGTTTGTCAGTGTGGTCCAGCATTTCTGTTTTCTCCAATAATATGCTGTGTCTAGGTTGGTTCATCAGGTTCTCTGCTATGGCTGACTTCTCTGGTTGAGAAGGAACACTCAAACAACAGATGAATTCCAGACAGGCAACAATCATGGCCAGCTAACATCTCCTAACAAAGTATTCCTCCAGGCAGGAATCAGCCAGTCTTTGAAGCTTCAAGGTTATTCAATGCTAATCAAGGTAGCCAATTGCAACATTCACACCTGACTCAAGCAGAAAAGAGTTCTTTCTCCCATCCTGGACATTCCCCAGATATACAAACCCCATTTTCCTAGTTTCCAACAGACCCCACAAGCTCTGAGGATGCCAGTCATAGATGTGGGTGAAACGTCAGGAGATAATTCTTCTGTAATATCGCCAGACAGCCCAGAAAGCTCACAACAACCTGGTCTGATCAACATATTATAGAGAATTAGGCAGGATAGGGTTGAACTAGATAACTTCTAACTTTGTAATGCTGTGTATCACAAAATTCAGAAAAATAAACAAATGTTCTGATCAACATACTATGGAGGGGAAATTGAGAATTATGCTGCATGCCTGCGTGGTAGAAAAGCGTTGGCCTATAGGATTTTTAGGGTCCCTTCTAGCTTTAGGATGTTATGATTCTGCGATGGGTGACTCAGCTTAAAGGAGGGCTGACTCCTTAACTGTGCGATACAGAATATTGCCCCCAAGAGACTTGTATTTGTATCTGTGCCTGCCATTTGTGACACAGTTCTTCCCTTGCCCAGGTCCTGGAGACCTGCGTGAAGAACTGCGGCCACCGCTTCCACGTCCTCGTCGCCAGCCGCGACTTCATTGATGGAGTCCTTGTCAAAATCATCTCCCCCAAGAACAACCCTCCGACCATCGTCCAGGACAAAGTGCTCGCGCTCATTCAGGTCTGTGGAACCATTCTTATTTTTAATTATGGTCTTTTCCAAGAGAAGGATGCTTTTTGAGGTCTGTTCTACCCAGACTGCCCAAGTTATGTGAGCTTTCAATCTGATTAATGCCCTGCTGTTAGAATGGCCAAAGGTTGAGTATCTACCTGTATTATAATCATATTATTATTATTATTATTATTATTATTATTATTATTATTATTATTATTATTATTACTAGCCATCCCCTGCCACGCGCTGCTGTGGCCCAGTCTAGTGATCTGGAAAATAAAGTAATGAGAAAGCATTGGTTTCTTATATATGTAATTTTTATGCTTGTGTGTAAACAGTATTTCTTGTTGTTTCTTTGTCAGTGTTGATGTGGAGAGTGTCTGGTTTGCCTACTCTGAAAAATGCAACATAATTGTCCTTCTTTAGGGGTCCCTTTCAAATCTATGATACTATATCTCTCTCTGTGTGAATCATATCTATCTATATTTATGGCTGGATGGCTCTTTGTTGGGAGGGCTTTATTACGTTTTCTTGCCCTGGTGAAGGGAGTTGGACTGCATGGCCTTGAGTATTTTCTGTTGGTTATAGGGGATTCTGTGTGGGAAGTTTGCCCCAATTCTGTCGTTGGTGGGGTTCAGAATGCTCTTTGATTGTAGGTGAACTATAAATCCTAGTAACTACAACTCCCAAATGTCAAGATCTATTCCCCCCCCCCCCCCCCAAACTCTATCTGTGTTCATATTTGGGCACATGGAGTATTCGTGCCAAGTTTGGTCTAGATCCTTCATTGTTTGAGTCAACAATGCTTTCTGGATGTAGGTGAACTACAACTCCCAAACTCAAGGTCAATGCTCACCAAACCCTTCTGGTGTTTTCTGTTGGTCATGGGAGTCTTGTATGCCCTGTTTGGTTCAATTCTATCATGCTATTTGATTGTAGGTGAACTATAAATCCCAGCAACTACAACTCCCAAAAGACAAAATCAAAATTTTTTGAGTGAAGGACATACATTGGGTTGTTAGGTGTATTGTGTCCAAATTTGGTGTCAATTCGTCCGGTGGTTTATGAGTTCTGTTAATCCCACAAACGAACATGACATTTTTATTTATATAGATTAATAACAATAATAATAATATACATATTATTATTATTATTATTATTATTATTATTATTATTGATGATGATGTTATAAGAGGAACATGGCTATAATACGAGTAGATAGAGCAGGCATGGGCAAACTTCGGCCCTTCAGGTATTTTGGACTTCAATCTGGAGGGCCGAAGTTTGTCCATGCCTGATACGAACAGTGCTGCAGGATCCAACCTCCACTTCTGCTGTTTTGCTAAATGAAACATCTCAGGGATTAGCACTATGCATTATGGCCATCGTGTGGGAGGAAAGCTTAGTTGTGGATGAAATCCCTGTTTCGTTTCTGTGTGCCAGGCTTGGGCCGACGCGTTCAGGAGCAGCCCCGACTTAACCGGAGTCGTTCACATCTACGAAGAGCTCAAAAGGAAAGGAGTGGAGTTTCCCATGGCAGATCTCGACGCTTTGTCCCCCATCCACACACCGCAGAGAGTAAGGACCTATGGAAGTTTAAAAATCCACATCTCACTATCATTATCGTTGGATAAATTGGAATTTTTGGATGGGATGTTTAACTTTACAAACATCCTATTAACCCTCAAAGTTTTTTGTTCCTCTTTGGTCATTTTCTTAGTCGGAATTGCAGTCTCATCCTTGTGAAATGTAAAGCCTGATAGTTCTCCATGTGTAGTTCTCCTAAACATATCACCAAGTCGTAAGAAAATGCGTTTACTTTATAACTTTGTCCCTTTAGAGGTGCCGTATATACTCGAGTATAAGCTGGCCTGAATATAAGCCGAGGCACCTAATTTTATCAGGAATTACTGGGAAAACGTATTAGTTTGGGTATAAGCTGAGGGTGGGAAATGCACCAACTATGGGCAAATTTCAATATAAAAATAGATACCAATAAAATTACATTAATTGAGGCATCAGTAGGTTAAATGTTTTTGAATATTTACATACAACTGTAATTTAAGATAAGACTGTCCAACTCTGATTAAACCATAATTCTAACCTTCTTCAATGTAAATGTTCTTACATATCCTTCCAATAATAATAAAGAAAGAAAAATAATAAATGTAATAAAAATAATAGGGTAAATAATGGAAATGTAATTATAACAACAATAATAGAGTAAAATAACAAATGTATAAAATAGGGTAAAATAATATATATAATAATAGAGTAAAATAATGGAAATGTATTAACAGTAATAATGGAGTAAAATAATAACTGTAATAATAACAGTTATAATAGGGTAAAATAACAAATGTAATAATAATAATAATAATAAGAGTAAAATAATAAATGTAATAATAATAATAAGAGTAAAATAACAAATGTAATAACAATGATAGAGTAAAATAATGGAAATGTAATAATAACAGTAATAATGAAATAAAATAATAAATATAATTATAAAAATAGGGTAAATAACTGAAATGTAATAATACAATAATATTAGAGCAAAATTACAAATGTAATAATAAAATAGGGTAAAATAATAAATGTAATAATAATAATAATAGAGTAAAATAATGGAAATGTAATCATAGTAATAATGGAGTAAAAAAATAAATGTAATAATAACAATTATAATAGTAAAATAACATATGAAGTAATAAAATAGGGTAAAATAATAAATGTAATAATAATAATAATAATAACAGTAAAATAACAAATGTAAAAATAACAATGATAGAGTAAAATAATGGAAATGTAATAATAACAGTAATAATGAAATAAAATATTAAATGTAATAATAATAAATAAACAATAAAAGTAATAAAAACAATAATAATAGAGTGAAATAATAAATGTAATAATAAACACAGAGTAAAATAATAAATGTAATAATAATAATAGAGTACTATAATCAATGTAATAATATCAGTAATAAATAAAGCAAAATAATATATGTAATAATAACTAGAATATGTAGAGTAAAATAATAAATGTAATAAAAATATCAAATAAAATGTTGATGTAATAATAATATAAATAAATAAATAAATAGAGTACAATAATAAATGTAATAATAATAATAACAGATTAAAATAATAAATAACCTTGACTCGAGTATAAGCAGAGAAGGGCTTTTCTCATCCTCAAAAAATGACTGAAAACTTGGCTTATACTCATGTATATATGGTAGATTCTATCGGTTCTGTTTAATACCTCTATCCCTATTTAAATTGGACAGTGAAAGAGGACATCCCTATCTAGTGCGTTCCTGTATTTTGCATGGTTTAGTCAACTTGTGCTTCCAGTGTGTGGCTGTCCAAAAGGAATAGTAACTATGTCAAATGTCCATCTCTTTTTCTGATGGGCGTCCCCATAGTGCTCTGCCTCATAATTTGTTCTCCATTTCTGTCCTTTTCCCCTCCTAGAGCGTTCCCGAGGTTGACCCAGCCACCAACATGAACCGGTCCCAATCCCATCAGAGGGTGGGCTCTGGTTCCTTCTCTCCCTCCCCGACCGCTTTCTCGGCGCCACAGGCTCCGGCTTTGAACATCGCCAGCCCAATCACTGCAAACACAGAGCAGGTACCTTGCCAGAGGGGCAGGACGAGGCCTCTTCCCCTCGTAGCTGGGAGGGAAAGCCCACGCGTGGCGCTAGAGTTCAACACAAACACTTTTCTCTCCTCTTTTCCTGCTTCTGCTGGAGATCGCACGGCTCCGCAGCGAGCTGGACGTGGTGCGTGGGAACGCGAAAGTCATGTCAGAGATGCTCACAGAAATGGTCCCCGGGCAGGAGGACTCGTCGGACCTTGAACTGCTGCAGGTCAGTTGGAATGTTGTCCTCCATCTTCTTTCCTTCCCTTTCAGCCTTGAATGCGTTTTCCATCTTTGTATTATTTTACAGCCATGTAATGCACTTTAACTGCTGTGGCTCAATGTTATGGAATCCTGGGATTTGTAGTGTCTCCTCTTAACTTTCTCTTCTCCAAACTGAACGTCCCCAGCTTCTTACTGGATTACTGCAGTGCACTCTACATGGAGCTACCCTTGAAAACGGCCCAAAAATTACAACTTTTCCAACGGACGGCAGCCTGATTAATAACCGGGGCAACTTACAGGGAGCGGTCAACCCCTCTGTTCAAGGAGCTCTGGTGGGGACGAGGGACAGGGCCTTCTCAGTGGTGGCCCCTCGGCTCTGGAACTCCCTCCTACTGGAGATTAGAACTGCCCCTTATCTCCTGACTTTTAGAAAACAGGTGAAAACCTGGCTCTGGAAACTGGCATTTGACGAGTGAGTCAATAACTCATGGCTATATGGATGGATGGTGATGAACAACGATTTTATTGTGACGACTTGGCCATTGCAATTATATGATTGGATTTTTGGTATTTTAATGTGTTAGTGTATTACGGAATGTGATGTTTTTAAACGATTGCTTGTGATATTATTGACTCTAATTCCCTTTTTGATCTGCTGCATCACACTGTTGTCTCATGTTTATTTTATTTATTTACAATATTTATATACCACTTTTCTCACCCCTCAGTTTAGGGTCTTACTAAGGCACCTGGATCCTTTTCATTTCAAGCCAGGTGTCTGTTGTAGTTCAGCCTTTGATTATGCCTACACCGGGTCTCTCTGGGGATTCTGGGCCTACTAGTCATTCTGATGACACTGGAGATTCTGGGTCTGCAGTTCAGTAGAAGAGCCAGCAAGAGATTTTAAGCCCTGAAAATGAGCGGTCGGTGTGTGAAGGCCACATTCCTGAAAGGTAGTTCACTAGGGAAGCAAGGTCAGACATAAATCGGAGTTCAGAGGATGAAAACGAAAGTCCAGGTGGACAGGCTAATGAGCAGTTAGATAGGAGATTTACATTCCATACACATAGAGCTACTCAGGAGAGTTTACGAAGGTCAAAATGCTATTAGCCAAGAAATCCTTATTAGTTTCCCAGGGGCGAAGGCATGATTTTCTCTCTATATTAACTAGCCCAGCAGATGAGTCTGTTAGTCCAGGCAACGTTGATGTTTGAGTATAGAACTACTGTCAAGTCAAGGGATTTGTAGTTTCATGTTCCATGTTTCCTTTTGTTCATGTCTCATGATTCCAAGTTTTGAGGACTGTTCCTGAATCCCATGTTTTGGATTTATTCTCCTTTTCTGTTCTTGGTTTTTGATGCTATTTGTGTACTATGATTTCTGTGGATTATTCCTGATACTTGGACTTCGGTTTTTTATACTTTTTTTCTGTGTCAGGAGAGACTTGAGAAACTGCAAGTTGCTTCTGGTGTGAAAGAATTGGCTTTCTGCAAGGACATTGCCCAGGGGACACCCAGATATTTGATGTTTTACCATCCTTGTGGGAGGCTTCTCTCATGTCCCTGCATGGGGAGCTGGAGCTGACAGAGGGAGCTCAACCTGCTCTCCCTGGATTTGAACGGCTGACCTGTTAGTCAGCAGTCCTGCTGGCACAAGGGTTTAACCCATTGTGTCACCGCAATGCTTTCAATATATATTCTTCTTGGGCTCCTCCCTCACAAATTTTTAATACACTTTTTTTATTCCTATCTTATCCAAGGTTTTAACCTTTTAGCTCGTGCATTTGGCCCGCCCTTTGTGTTTGATTTTTATTATGTTATTTTGCACTGTTTATAGTATTCTGTTATTTTATATATTTTGCTGTGATGTAATTTTTCCGTTGTTTTGTTTGCTGTATTGTTTTTGGGGAGATGGTGGCGGGGTATAAATAAAGTTTATTATTATTTTTATTTATTTATTTAGTAAACTGCTTTGCTATTTTATCTTGGACTGGAGTGTTTGTTGTGTACAGAGGTGCTTCCCAGCCTTGGACTACAACAGTTCCACTCATCCATATCCTGTTTCATTTGCCTTTTTAGCTGCAGCATCACACTATTGAATCACGTTCAGCTGGGGGTCCGCTGAGATTCCTAGATCCCTCTCAAAAAAACTGTTTTCCACTGAGCTCTGTTCTTTGCATTCTCCCCAGGAGCTGAACCGGACTTGCCGAGCCATGCAACAGCGGATTGTGGAACTGATCTCCCGCGTGTCCAATGAGGAAGTCACAGAAGAGCTACTCCACGTAAACGATGACTTGAACAACGTCTTCCTTCGATATGAGAGGTATGCCAGCCTTCTCTACAAGTGCACACTTCCTCGGGCTCAGATCATTTTTCTGCTGCCTTCATTTCCCCACCAAACCTGGATACTCAAATGTATCAATACATGTTTTAACAACAATATCAACAACAGTAATAATAACAATCCATATACTACAAGGCTCACCAAACTACCAAGCCAGGGATTGCTTAGAATGAAGCAGCAATCATTATCAAGGCCTGGCTAAATGTGTTCCTTTCTACTTCTGACAGCTTTCATGATAAGGACTTGGGGGTTTTGGGTCATTATTATTATTATTATTATTATTATTATTATTTGTATCCTGCATTTTCTTTCATAAAAAGAACCCAAAGTGCATTAGAGTACACTTTCTAGCTATGCTGAAAGGCACCTGACAGCCATAGTTGGTCTTTATATGATTTTGAATTGCCTTCTTTCACCTTCCACCTTTTTTGCTGAGTGCATGAAGACTCCTCTGTTTGCTCCTAGGTTTGAACGGTATCGGTTGGGGCGGTCTGCGCAGAATGCTAGCAACGGGGTAAGAAAATACGTTTTCATATGTGTATTTTTTGTTGATGATGTGTTTTTTGCTATGTTGTGACCCACCTCGGGACACCAGAAATAAAATAATAATGATGATGATGATGATGATAATAATAATAATAATAATAATAATAATAGGCTGGAGGTTTAGCACAGCTGGCAAATCATCAGCAATTATAAGATCTATCAACCAAAATGTTGCAAGTTCGAAGCCCTGGTTTGGCGTGAGCTGCCAACTGTTAGCCTAGCTCATTGTTTACCTAACCAATTCGAAAACAGCTTTAGCTGTGATTAGAGAAATTAGGTACCGCTAAAAAGCAGGGGAGGTGTTTTACGACACCATAAAGAAAGAAGATCAGAAAATGCTGGGCAAACAAAAGGAAGGAAGAAGTCCTGATGGCTCTTCGTCATAGAGGATAGAGCAGCAGCACCCCCTGGACTCAAGCCCAGCTTTCCATGGCACCAAAAACAGCTGGACACTGAGTCGAAACAAACCACCTCCATCTGTTCTGTCTGTCTGTGTATTGTCTATACAAAAGCGGCACTGAATGTTTGCTGTGTATATCTACTATGATCCTCCCTTCGGGGTGAGAAGGGCGGAATATAAAGTGTTGTTATTATTATTATTGTTATTAATAGTAGTAATAGTAGTAGTAGTAATGTCTTGCCAGTGCCTGGCAAAACTGTGGAACTCACAGCCACTGGGTAGAGTGACATTTCCACCATCCTTGCTCTTTCAGGAGAGTAAAAAGTACAACACGAAACCCTGGAAAGCCATGGATGCCAATATTGAGCCCAAGATCAGACCTCATAGAATGCAACTTCCTATAGTACCATAATACTAAAACTGACTAAAGGCCATTCAAATGTACATCAGTAAAGAGAATGCAGCATTTCACTCCTGATAGTGATACGGTTTGGGACCCGCCTACCTGCATGACTGCATTTCTGTGTATGAACCCACACGATCTCTTCGATCATCTGGAGAGGCCCTGCTTGTGCTCCCATCTCCTTCGCAGGCGCGATTGATGGGGACAAGGGAGAGGGCCTTTTCGGTGGTGGCCCCCCGACTCTGGAACTCACTTCCCAAGGACATCAGTCATGCCCCAACTCTGGCAGCCTTTAGGAGGAGCCTGAAAACGTGGCTGTTCCAGTGTGCCTTCCCAGAATAAGGAAAATTCTCAGCAATATGCCCTCAGAATGCACTTTACTACTGGTTTAGGATTGGCTGTGTTCCCTCATCTCTCTTTGAAAACCCTATACCAGTTATATCCTACCTTGTTCATGCCCAGCGTTTATTTTTTAATTTTTAAACTATTACATTTGGCCCGGCCATAGGTTTTTAAATTCTTGTGTGTTATTGTTTATTGATTATTGTTTATATGTGATTTATATTAATTGTATTGTATTTATTGTTTTTGTTTATTGCTTTTGTTTATTGATGTACTGTCGGGCTTGGCCTCATGTAAGCTGCTCCACGTCCCTTGGGGAGATGGTGGTGGGGTATAAATAAAGCTATTATTATTATTATTATTATTATTATTATTATTATTATTATTATTATTATATCTTGGTTGCTGCTCAGAGGTCTGGAAAGCAATCCTTATGAGGGACGGCTTGGGGAGTTGGGTATGTTTAGATGGGAAGGGAGAAGACCAAGAGGTGACGTGGCGAAACTGTATTTGGACCATGTTTTCTGCTGCTCCAGAAACTGCAACACAAATTATGTATAACAAAAGAAAGGGACCAGCTTGGCTTCCAGATCTTGTGCAAATGCTCACTTCTCTGCCTTGTGTGTGACTACCTTCTGTTGTCATGAATGACCCAATAGGTTCTCAGTGAGGTGACCGAAGACAACTTGATAGACCTGGGGCCCGGTTCTCCAGCAGTAGTCAGCCCCATGGTTGGGAACACAGCTCCTACCGCCACGCTTTCTTCCCAACTGGCTGGAATCGGTGAGTGACCGTGTTCTTTAGACCAGCAGGTGTTTTGCAAACGGGGATGGCACAAAGTGGGTCCACAGCGCAGGTTCTTGGGGCTCCTTTTTCTGAATGGGGAGTGGATAACCCTTTATTGCAGCAGCTCCACTGGCTGCCAGTTTGTTTCTTTTCTTCCATATTTAAATTATTACTTCCAAAGTGTACACATTACAACATAAGTAAAGATACACACATTATAACATAACTGTAACATAACTATTGGTTTATAAAGCCACCAATTAACAGTAGAAAATTTATACTTTCTAATGATTGTAAAACATATGTATCATATTTGAAAGAAAACTTCCCAACCTTACACTAAGATAGTCTTGGAATATTTTGTTCTATAAAAGCTCTTAACAAGCAATGTGTGTGTGTGTGTGTATGTATATACCGTATATACTTGAGTATAAGCCGACCCAAATATAAGCCGAGGCACCTAATTTTACCACAAAAAACTGGGAAAACATATTGACTCGAGTATAAGCCGAGGGTGGGAAATGCAGCCATTACAGGTAAATTTCAAAATAAAAATAGATACCAATAAAATTACATTAATTGAGGCATCAGGAGGTGAAATGTTTATTAATATTTACATGTAATTTGAGATAAGACTGCCCAACTCTGATTATATCATTACATATCTTCAATGTAAATGTACTTACGTATCCTTCCAACAATAATAAAGAGAGTAAAATAATAAATATAATAATAATAAAGTAAAATAATGGAAATGCAATAATAACAGTAATAATAAGAGTAGAATAATAAATGTAATAATAGAGTAAAATAATAAATGCAATAATAAAAATAAAATAATAAATGTAATAATAATCATAAATTATTAATGTCATAATAATAATAATAGGGTAAAATACTGCAAATGTAATAATAATAAAGAGAATAAAATAATACGTGAAATAAAAATAATACTAATAACAGAGTAAAATAATAAATAACCTTGACTCAAGTATAAACCGAGTGGAGCTTTTTCAGCCTACAAAGGGCTGAAAAACTAGGCTTATACTCGAGTATATACAGTATATATATGTAACATTTACATCAAATCTTCAAAAGGAACCTAACTGTACAATATATATCATAATCTTGTTCTTCTTTCTGACAGGGTATTTTTAATCACTCCATAATATTATGGGCCATTCTTTAAATATTCTACCTACCATATATACTTTATAAGCCGACCCAAATATAAACCAAGGCACCTAATCTTACCACAAAAAACTGGGAAAACGTATTGACTCGAGTATAAGCCGAGTGTGGGAAATGCTGCAGCTAATGATAAATTTCAAAATAAAAATAGATACCAATACAATTACATTGATTGAGGCATCAGTAGATCAAATGTTTTTGAATATTTACAAAAAAAGTGTAATTTAAGATAAGACTGTCCAACTCTGATTAAACCATAATTCTAACCTTCTTCAATGTCAGTGTACTTATGTATCCTTCCAATAATAATAAAGATAGTAAAATAATAAATGTAATAATAATAATAATAATGTTTAAAAATGTTTGAAAGTTTTTGTCGACCTTACAGCAGCCTATGACATGGTGCAACATAGGAAAATGCTGCTTTGAGTCTCCTTTTTTAGAGATAAAAGAGTAATAATAATAATAATAATCAACATCATCATCATCATCTAAAAATCAGAAGAGGATGACAAGCAACATTGAATTAAAATTCACAAGTTAATATGAGAGAGGATGAGGTTGTCTCCCTGATGCTGAAGAGAACACAAACTACAAGAAAGGAGATTCCATCTGAACATGAGGAAGAACTTCCTGACTGTGAGAGCCGTTCAGCAGTGGAACTCTCTGCCCCGGAGTGTGGTGGAGGCTCCTTCTTTGGAAGCTTTTAAACAGAGGCTGGATGGCCATCTGTCAGGGGTGATTTCAATTCAATATTCCTGCTTCTTGGCAGGGGGTTGGACTGGATGGCCCATGAGGTCTCTTCCAACTCTTTGATTCTATGATTCTATGATTCTACAAGTAGCAAATAGATCAGGAAAAAAAGGAGATTAAAATTGTTTCCAGTTTACCAATCATGGTTTTTTCTTGCCCTTTATTTCTCACAGGCAGCTTGCCTTTTCCTCCATCTGAGGCAGAGAGAGCCTGACTTGCCCAGGAACACCCAATAGGTTTTCCATGCCCAAAGGGGGATTTGAACTCTTGTCCGCGAATCCCCAAGGCAGTGTAAATGGGGTCCACTTACTTTATGCCATTTCCTTCTTGATTCTATGTGTTTTTTACTGGTGGGTGGCTCCACGGCTTTTGTCATGTTCTCAAAGGTGCCTGAGACCCCTCCAGACCGAGAATGCCTTTCCTACTGTGTTCTTATTCTCCTTTTCCTGTGTCTTTGCAGATTTGGGCGCAAACAGCGTCAGCGGGACGCTCAGCTCCCTCCCGCAGCCCAATCCCCGCGACGACTTCGACATGTTTGCACAGACGAGGGGTGGTGGCACCTTAGCGGATCAGCGCAAGACGTACGTATCTATCTATATATTTATTTATTTCATTTGAAACGTTTATATTCCGCCCTTCTCACCCCGAAGGGGACTCAGGGCGGGGCACAGCATATACACGCCAAACATTCAATGCCGGGACACACATTCACATACACATACATAAACGTTAAAAAAACATTTATCAAAATATTACAATACACTATTTAAAACCGTCCTAGTCATCCACGTCAAATCTAATTGGCCTGGTAATCTTTCCTATTGTTCCTTTATTGCCTTGTCCCGAAAGTTTGGTCCCACAGCCAAGTTTCTACCATCCTTCTAAAGGACAGGAGGGAGGGGGCTGACCTGATCTCACCAGGAAGGGAGTTCCATAGCCGGGGAGCAATCACCGAGAAGGCCCTGTCTCTCGTCCCCACCAATTGTGCCTGTGACAGTGGCGGGACGGAAAGCAGGGCCTCTCTGGAGGATCTTAATCTCCGCGATGATTCATAGAGGAAGATGTGTTCAGACAGGTAATTTGGGCCGGGGCTGTTTAGGTCTTTATAGGCCAAAGCTGCACTTTGAATTGTGCCCGGAAGCAAACTGGCAGCCCGTGGAGCTGGCGTAACATGGGAATTGTATGCTTCCTGTATGCCGCCCCAGTTATTAACCTGGCTGCCTCTCGTTGGACTATTTGAAGCTTCCAAGCAGTCTTCAAAGGCAGCTCCGCGTAGAGTGTGTTGCAGTAGTCTACCCTAGATGTAATGAGAGCATGGACCACCGTGGCTCTGTTTCAAAGGAGCTCGCTTTGGGGTACCCGTGGCCTTCAAATCCTTCGCTTGCCAGGACAGCCGGTTGATCTCTTGCTGATGTCTGGTTTGACCCAGAATGCTGTTGAAGTCCAACTCCCAGCATTCTCCACCATTAGCTTTGCTGGGAATGGCAGTTCTGCAACTTTTTGGAAACTATGCTCTGCCTTCTTCTTCCATTGCTGTCTCCAGTCAGTGACAGAGCAGGCAATTAGACCTGATGCTGAACTGATTTTCCTTGTTTAATAAAGAGGAAGAGGAGAGGATAGTCTTCCTGTCTGCAAGAAAGACTCATGGGTCTGATTAATCATCCTCAGCATCTGAACCCTCATTCCTCCTTAAAGCAATCCCTGTAAAGTGATTTTTTAGAAGTCTCTCCTAGTTAGGAGATATTTGCAAATTTCCCAGCACACCTGTGTCAAACTCAAGGCCTTTGGGCTGAATCCATCCCTCTATGTCAGTATTTCTCAACCTTCCTAATGCCGCGACACCTTAATACAGTTCCTCATGTTGTGGTGACCCCCAACCATGACATTATTTTCATTGTTACTTCTTAACTGTAATTTTGCTACTGTAGTCATTTTTTTTGTCATGTGAGGAGCGACCTGAGAAACTGCAAGTCGCTTCTGGTGTGGGAAAATTGGCCGTCTGCAAGGACATTGCCCAGGGGACGCCCGGATGATTTGATGTTTTTATCATCCTTGTGGGAGGCTTCTCTTATGTCCCCGCATGAAGAGCTGGAGCTGATAGGGGGAGCTCATCTGCCTCTCCCCGGAGTCGAACCTGCGACCTGTCGGTCTTCAGTCCTGCCGGCACAGGGCTTTAACCCACTGCGCCAGCGGGGGCTCCATATTGTAGTCGTAATGTAAATATCTGATATGTGGGATGTTTAACCCTTTCAGTGACTCACATTTTTGTAATTAAAAATATTTACCATATATACTCAAGTATAAGCCGACCCGAATATAAGCCGTGGCACCTAATTTTACTCCAAAAAACTGGAAAATTTATTTGCTCGAGTATAAGCTGAGGATGAGAAATGTAGCTGCTACTGGTAATCATCAAGAGGTTAAATGTTTTTGAGTATTTAAACTGTAATTTAAGATAAGACTGCCCAACTTTGATTCAACCATTATTCTAACCTCCTTCAATGTAAATGTGCTTACCTATTACCTATAATGATAGAATAAAATAAGAAATGTAATAACATGTAAAATAATAGAGTAAATAATGGAAATTTAATAATAATAGTAATAATAATAAAGTAATGTAATAACAACAATAGAATAAAATAAGAAATGTATTAAAAGTAATCATACAGTAAATGTAATAATAATAGAGTAAAATAATAAATGTAATAAAAGTAATAATAGAGTAATGATAAAGTAACGTAATGATAGAATAAAATAATATAGAATAAAATCGATAAAATAATGATGGAATAAAATAATAACATGTAATAACATGTAATAAAAATAATAAATAATGGAAAATTAATAATAGTAGTAATAATAATAAAGCAATGTAATAACAATAATAGAGTAAAATAATAAATGTAATAAAAATACTACTAATAGCAGAGTAAAATAATAAATAACCTTGACTCGAGTATAAGCCGAGGGGAATTTTTTCAGCCTAAAAAGGAGCTGAAAAACTAGGCTTATACTCGGGTATATACAGTAGTTAATATTTAATTTTTCTAACAGTTTCTGAAGTAGAACAACTATTTTCAAAGTAAGTACGGCACAGGGTTGTTGTGAGTTTTCCGGGATGTATGACCATGTTCCAGAAGCATTTTCTCCTGACGTTTCACCTGCATCTATGGCAGGCATCCTCAAGAGTACTACACAATTAAACAGCAATAATATTTTCAAACCAGGAACAGGTTTTTTTTTTGTCAAATTTTGTTGCATAGTGTTACTTACTTACTTACTTAGGCGATCCCTCATTGGCCGAGTAGGATAGTCTTCCAGGATCAGAATTCCTGAGTCTGTAGGTGGCTGTGGAGCCCTATTCTTGATCTGCATCTTCTTCCGCAGTGAGCACATTGGTTTCCAGGTGGAAGGCGGTCCCGGTCGGCGTTGGCTTGACGCGCCTTCCTCTTGGCACGTTTCTCTCCTTCACCCTCCATTCGTGCCTCTTCAAATTCTTCAGCACTGCTGGTCACAGCTGACCTCCAGCTGGAGCGCTCAAGGGCCAGGGCTTCCCAATTCTCAATTATTTATTTATCGTGTCATCAGCAACCATACCATTGTATTACAATTCTAACAGAACAAAACAAACACACAGATTAAAAAGAAGAAGAAAAAACACAGATTTTGCAAACTTGGTAGTTGGTTAAATGTCCTTTGACCAGTATCTGGCCACTTGGAGTGCCTCTGGTGTTGCCGCAAGAAGGTCCTCCATTGTGCATGTGGCAGGGCTCAGGGTGCATTGCAGCAGGTGGTCAGTGGTTTGTTCTTCTCCGCACTCGCATGCCGAGGATTCCACGCTGTAGCCCCATTTCTTAAGATTGGCTCTGCATCTCGTGGTGCCAGAGCGCAGTCTGTTCAGCGCCTTCCAAGTCGCCCAGTCTTCTGTGTGCCCAGGGGGGAGTCTCTCATCTGGTATCACCCATGGATTGAGGTGCTGGGTTTGGGCCTGCCACTTTTGGACTCTCGCTTGCTGGGGTGTTCCAGCGAGTGTCTCTGTAGATCTAAGAAAGCTATGTCTTGATTTAAGTCGTTGGACGTGCTGGCTGATACCCAATCAAGGGATGGGCTGGAGGTGTCTCTGCCTTGGTCCTTTCACTATTGGCTGCTACTTCCCGGCGGATGTCAGGTGGTGCAATACCGGCTAAGCAGTGTAATTTCTCCAGTGGTGTAGGGCGCAGACACCCCATGATAATGCGGCATGTCTCATTAAGAGCCACATCTACTGTTTTAGTGTGGTGAGATGTGGTCCACACTGGGCATGCATACTCAGCAGCAGAGTAGCATAGCGCAAGGGCAGATGTCTTCACTGTGTCTGGTTGTGATCCCCAGGTTGTGCCAGTCAGCTTTCGTATGATATTGTTTCTAGCGCCCACTTTTTGTTGATGTTCAGGCAGTGCTTCTTGTAGGTCAGAGCATGGTCCAAAGTGACTCCCTGGTATTTGGGTGTGCTGCAATGCTCCAGTGGGATTCCTTCCCAGGTAATCCTCAGAGCTCGGGATGCTTGTCAATTTTCAATGTCTATGCCAGAGTTTTTAATGCTGGCTTTGAGCCCATCTTTAAATCTCTTTAAAGTGTATGCATAGTGTAGTAGGTTACTGAATTGATGCCCATAACACTAAAGGACTTCTGGCTTCTCCCGTGACCCTTGCTGTTGAATCTTAACCATCCTCGTTTTCTTTTTGTTTCAGGGTGACCTACGAAGACCCCAAGGCCGTCAAAGGACTGGCGTCTGCCCTGGATGTCCGGAAACAGACTACGGCAGGGGTAGGTCGCTTTTCTGCTCTCTTTCATTTTGAATGGAGGAAATCCAGTCTCTGGCCTTCCTGGCGGCACCGATAGGCTCTCTTCCGTGCTATTCCGCAGCTTTGTATTCCTGAAGGTTGGGAAGGCATTGCCTTGCAAAAGGTGGCACTGAATATTTTCTTAGAAAATTGTTTCGGGATCCACTCCTCGGTGGTGACTTCTAGAAGGAACCGGAAGGCATTTAGCAGGGAAATTTCTGTATGGTTATCACTTTCTTGCACTGAGTCAGGCAGGAGGCGATCTTTCTTGAAAAGCAGGTATTTCCCCCTAGGACCTTTTCTCTCTTTTGGTTGAAGGTGGGATTTTTAGGCCTGGAGCCTGGGCTGGATTTGGGGCACAAAGATCCCTCTTGGTCTTATTCACTGAATATATAGAAGGACCTTTTTTCAGATTAAAAAATGCACTCCTCACCTGCAGCTCCAGCTTTGTTTACTTTCTGGTAGCAGAAGTAATATGGAGTCCTTCCTTTCATTCTGCATTGTGTCCTCCTGGGGGTGCAAGGGAGCCATCTTTACTTTATGGGATAGTCTTTGTGGATTTCCTAAGGAAGTTATGGGTCTGAACGTATCTGGCATTAAGAGAAGCAGAGCATGAGAAAGGGAGAGAAGCCACTCTGAGATAGGGCCAGGGTTTGGGGGATTACCATTCCTAGCACCCCCCAGACCAGCATGACCAGTTGGGAGTTGCAGTCCAATTTCTAATGAAGGCAATAGAAGCTGGAGAGCAAGGGCATTGCTGCCATTGGATGAACATAAGTTTTGCTCTTTGCCTCCAAGCAAAGGCAACCTTTTCTGTATCCTGACTAGAAAAGAGATGTAGCTTTGCAATGGGGCCAACTGGCATGACAACAGGTCCTGGTAGAACTTTCTTTCTGACTTCTTAAAAAGGAAGGTAGAGGATCTTATCGTAGGGATATCGGTATCTATAGTGAAGTGTAGCTTAGCCAGTACTATATATGAGCTAATAATAATAATAATAATAATAATAATAATAATAATAATAATCTTTATCTATACCATGCCACCATCTCCCCAATGGGGACTCAGAGCGGCTTACATGGGGCCAAGCCCAAACAACAAACTACAAAATCATAGTAGGAAACAGGAGAGGAAATGTGTTGTCGAAGGCTTTCATTGCCAGAATCACTGTGTTGCTGTGAGTTTTCCGGCTTGTATGGCCATGCTCCAGAAGCATTCTCTCCTGACGTTTCACCCACATCTATGACAGGCATCCTCAGAGGTTGTGAGGTTTAATGTGTTGTCAAAGGCTGGAATCACAGGGTTGCTGTGAGTTTTTTGGCCTGTATGGCCGTTTTCCAGAAGCATTCTCTCCTGATGTTTCACCCACATCTATGGCAGGCATCCTCAGAGGTTGTGAGGTCTGTTGGAAACTAGGAAAGTGAGGTTTGTATATCTGCGGAATGTCCAGAGTGGGAGAAAGAACTCTTGTATGCTGGAGACAGGTGTGAATGGTGCAATTTGCCACCTTGATTAATAGCCTTGCAACTTCAAGGTCTGGCTGGTTGCTGCCTGGAAGGATCTTTTGTTGGGAGGTGTTAGCTAGCCCTGATTGTTTCCTGTCTGGAATTCCCCTGCTCTTTGAGTATTGCTCTTTATTTAAACTCCCAATTTTAGAGGTTTTTTTTCTAATACTGGTAGCCAGATTTTGTTCATTTTCATAGTTTCCTCATGTTTTATACGTCTGTGGACATTCCACAGATAGATAAACCCCACTTGTCTAGTTTCCAACAGACCTTTCAACCTCTGACGATACCTGCCATGGATGTGGGGTTTTTTTTTTTAAATGGCATATCAGGAGCGACTTGAGAAACTGCAAGTTGCTTCTGGTGTGAGATAATTCGCCGTCTGCAAGGACTTTGCCCACGGGACACCTGGATGATTTTGATGTTTTTATCATCCTTGTGGGAGGCTTCTCTCATGTCCCCACATGAGGAGCTGGAACTGATAGAGGGAGCTCATCTGCCTCCCCGGATTCGAACCTGCGACCTGTCGGTCTTCAGTCCTGCCGGCACATGGGTTTAACCCACTGCGCCACCGGGGGCTCATATGGATGTGGGTGAAATGTCAGGAGAGAATGCTTCTGGAATATGGCCATAGAGCCCAGAAAACTCACAGCAAGCCAGAACCAGAAATGTCAAAAAGTTAGAGAAGCGGTTAGTGCAGAGGGGCCATGGCAGCGTGTTGAGACCATTGTGTTACTACTCAAAAATGCTTACGAGAAAAGAAATTTGCCCTCTCCTTTTGGGGGCCAGGGAAAGGGAGCCTTTGAAGCCTGCACTCAGCCTCAGGGTGTCCTTTGACTGATCTAAGCCTTGCTTCAGATCTAGAAATTGCTGCCCGGCTCCTTTTGTCAGCAGAGTCCTTATCAGCCCAGATCCAAAGGGCCCTGCCTGAGCCAACACAACGGGTCAAAGTGTAGGAAGGCCACCTCCTTCTCAGACCTTGCCTCCCTGCAGAGATGTCCCACAGGAATGTGTGGCAGGATGTAAAGAGCAATACCCAGCAAGTTATTGGAGTAGTCTGTTTCCTCCTTGCTTAACTGTTTGTGACCATAATGCCGTTACTGTGCCGTTATTGGTGTATTCGAGGTTTAACAAATGCAAATAGGAAACAGATTTCCCAAGAAGAGCCGTGGGTTTTCGTTGTAGGGGCAGGCAAAAGCGCTCCACAAGCTTCCCTTGCATCTCGGTTTCAGTGACAGGGATATAAGAAGACATATGCCAGAGATGGTCACACAAGATTTCAACGCATACCTGAGAATACTTTTTAATGCAGAATGATTCCCCAGGGAACATGGCTTGGCTTATGTTTGCACAACAGTGGCGGTGCTCCAGATGTTGTTGGGTGGCATTTTCTATCAGCCTCAACCAACAAAGCCTATTGTGAGGGATGATGAGAAGCATGGTCTCTGATGGACCTCACATTGACCATCTGAAGACCTCTTTGTGAGACTATGAAGCCTTGCATTTTGGCTACAGCATTCCATGTACTTTCCTGGAAGGGAGCCCCACCGAACTCAGTGAAATTTATCTCTGGACAACTCACTTCCGAATTGAGTCAGAGTTGATGCCCTTCTCTCATCCATATATATATACACACACGAGCGCGTGCGCATACACACACACACACACACACATAGTTGATGCCCTTCTCTCATCCATATATACACACACACACACACACACACACACACGCATACATGCATACACACACACACATACACAAACACACACATACATATCAATATGATATTTTAATTATATATTTTATATTACATGTAATATTAGTAGTAATATTACAGTATAATGGTATAGCACAATAAAGTAATATATAATACTAATATTGTGCTATGGTAATATAATATAATACATTGTATTTATATATTACTTGTAAGTCACTCTTGAGTCTCCTTCGGGGTGAGAAGGGTGGCATATAATGTCGTAAATAAATAAATAAATAAACAAACAAATGCATACACCCACATACACACATCAATATGATATTTTAATTATATATTTTATGTTACTTGTAAGTCGTAAATAAACAAACAAACAAACACACACACACACACACACACACATCAATATGATATTTTAATTATATATTTTATATTACATGTAATATTAGTAGTAATATTAGAGTATAATGGTATAGTACAATAAAGTAATATATAATACTAATATTGTGCTATGGTAATATAATATAATATATTGTATTTATATATTACTTGTAAGCCACTCTTGAGTCCCCTTCGGGGTGAGAAGGGTAGCATATAATGTCGTAAACAAACAAACAAACAAACAAACGCACACACCCACACACACACACACATATATCAATATGATTTTTTAATTATATATTTTATATTACTTGTAATATTAGTAGTAATATTACAGTATAATGGTATAGTACAATATAGTAATATGTAATACTAATATTGTGCCATGGTAATAATATAATATATTGTATTTACATATTACTTGTAAGCCACTCTGAGTCCTTTTCGGGGTGAGAAGGGTGGCATATAATGTCGCAAATAAATAAACAAACAAATGCGCACACACACACACACACATATATCAATATGATATTTTAATTATATATTTTATGTTACATGTAATATTAGTAGTAATATTACAGTATAATGGTATAGTACAATATAGTAATATATAATACTAATATTGTGCCGTGGTAATAATATAATATATTGTATTTACATATTACTTGTAAGCCACTCTGAGTCCCCTTCGGGGTGAGAAGGGTGGGATATAATGTCGCAAATAAATAAACAAACAAACAAACACACATACACACTAGCTTAGGTACCTGACATTGCCCGGGTTCTTTGAAAAAGTCAATGTTTAATTATACCAAATGCATAAGATTGTGGGTGAACTACAACTCACATCATGGCAGGTCAACCCTGAAAAACTCCATCAGTAATTAAAGTTTGTTATGTTTGGCAAGTTTGCTCTAGTTGCATCATTGGTGAGGTTCAGTATTCTCTCTGTCTGTAGGGTAAACTACAACTCCCACTATGGTAAGTCAGTCCCCTCAAACCCCTCTCCAGTAGGCTGAGATAGTCATGGGGGCTCTGTGTGCCAAGTTTGGTCCAGGTGCATCATCACTGGAGGTCACAGTTTCCCTGGTTCTGGGTGAACTAAAACTCCCAGAAAGTAAGGTCAGTTTCCCCCAAACCCCTCCAATAATCAAATTTCAGCATATCAGGTATGTGTGCCAAGTTTGGTTCAAATCCATCGGTGTTTGGGTTCACTACAACTCCCCCAAATCAAAGTGAATTTCACCCAAAGACCTTCAGTATTTTTTTGCTGGTCATGGGGGCTCTGTATGCCAAGTTTGGTCCAGGTCCATCATTGGTGGAGTTCAGAGTGCTCTTAGATTGCAGGTGAGCTATAAATCCCAAGACCTACAACTTCTCACCAAACCTCTCTGGTATGTTCAGTCACAGATCAATTCCTCTCTTTGCTGTGTGCCATAAAAAAGAATAAGGTTAAGGGAGAGGCAGTGGGTGGGGTCATGCAAATTCCACACCAATGGAGAGAGTCAGAAACACTGAGATGTCTGTGGTGGAGGAAAAACAGAAAATCTAGGATGAAATTGTGCCCGTAAGACAGCTTTCGCTTGGGTGGTGGGCAGTCTGGTGTTTGTGGAGGACATTGGCAGGGCTCTTGGACATGTTTATGGTGCTCACTATAACCTGCAATGTCACTGGAGGGAGGACCTTTGGTGTCTCCTGCGTAGTGGGAGCTATAGCTCAAATCAAATCATTTATTTCGGTCATTGACCAGCACAGGAAATGGGAGCTATAGCTGTTTGTGGAGCTTCTCTGTGTAAGCGGACACCCCGGCCACATACACACACACACATTTTCACATTTATAGCTAATCTCAGGATGTTAAGCTACATGAAAGAGGTGAGTTGAGAGATCCTAGAAACTCAGGCAAATGGATCTGCTCTGGATCTCTTGGTGTGAGGAACCCCATTCCACTACAGCTTTGCACATGATACTTAGGCTTAGTTGCAGGATTGGAGTGGGAAAATGGAAGACGTCTACCTTGTCCCCCAGTAAAATATGGTTTTGACTCTGTCTTGTTGTCGGCTGTCGCCGCGTTCTTTGCGTGTCCCCTCCTTCCTTATTCTTAATGGGACTTTCTGTTCTCAACACACAGAGGAGAGGTAAAGGTGGGAGCTCAGACATGGAGCCCATAGACAAGTGGCTAATGACCCAAGGAATGGTGAGGCGTCCTGTGACCCCCAAAACCCTCCCCGGTCCCCTGTTGTCCTCCCCTTCCGTCTCCTTTAAATAGCATATAACTGTCCTATATGTTTGACCTGTCACTCCAAAGACCCTCGCAATGAACAATTCGAGGAGCTGGATTTCCCATCTTGGACCAGAAAGAGAGGAGAAAAGTTGAGATTGGGAGAGATGGGGGGAAATCTATAGATGCTCGAAAGTTGCTTTGTTCATTTTCAAAACGAGGATGGATCCCTCCAGCTCCTTTGACTGTCCCATTGCTTTTAACATCTGCAGTATCGCCTCTTTTTCCCCTTCAGGGTAAACACAAGTTCTGCTCGTTTCCTAAAAATGGGTCAAAGTTGGATCCTGCCAGACTGGACAACCCAGACTCAGGCTCGAAGAATGTTAGGGTCGCAAAATCCTTTTCTTTGGACTCCGCCTTCCAGAAACCATTGGACACCCCAGCTGCGGGATTCTGGGAGTTGTAGTCCCAAAATATTTCCTCTGTTATTAATATTATTAGGACATGTAGTGGACAAAGAGGGACCTCAAAAGATAACAGGACTATCTTGAGCATCCATTACAACACAGGAAAAACAATTCACCTCTAAATAGGGCTGAATGTAATGTTGAATTGCCATGGCTTCTTCCTAAAGGATTTTGGGAGCTGTAGTTCTCTGAGAGCAGATTAAAATCATTAAACTATTTCACTCTTAAGACACACCACAGTTCTTAAGCTTCTTGCGGGATCAAAACAGACACGACCTTTAATTGGTTTTAAGGGTCCTTATGGTTTATTTTTAATACCGTTGATGTTTAATTCTATTGTAATGTTTGTTTATTTTTTAGGCTTTTAATTGTATCCTATTGGTTTTATTGTGAACCGCTTTGTGTGTCTCTTTAGAGAGAAAAAAGTGGGATATAAACAATAATAGGAGCACAGTGGGTTAAACCGCTGAGCTGCTGAACTTGCCAACGAAAGATTGCAGGTTTGAATCCAGAGAGCGGTGTGAGCTTCCGCTGTTAGCCCCAGCTTTAGCAGGTGGCACAGCGGGTTAAACCGCTGAGCTGCTGAACTTGCAAACCGAAAGGTTGCAGCTTCGAATCCGGAGAGCAGTGTGAGCTTCTGCTGTTAGCCTCAGTTTTAGCGGGTGGCACAATGGGTTAAACCGCTGAGCTGCTGAACTTGCAAACCGAAAGGTTGCAGGTTCGAATCCGGAGAGCGGTGTGAGCTTCCACTGTTAGCCCCAGCTTTAGTGGGTGGCACAGTGGGTTAAACAGCTGAGTTGCTGAACTTGCAAACGAAAGATTGCAGGTTTGAATCCAGAGAGCGGTGTGAGCTTCCGCTGTTAGCCCCAGCTTTAGCGGGTAGCACAGTGGGTTAAATCGCTGAGCTGCTGAACTTGCAAACTGAAAGGTGGCAGCTTCGAATCCGGAGAGCAGTGTGAGCTTCTGCTGTTAGCCCCAGCTTTAGTGAGTGACACAGTGGGTTAAACAGCTGAGCTGCTGAACTTGCTAACTGGAAGGTCTCAGGTTCGAATCTGGGGAGCAGCGTGAGCTTCTGCTTTTAGTCCCAGCTTCAGCCAAACTAGCAGTTCAGAAACATGCAAATGTAAGTAGATCAATAGGTACCACTTCTTTGGGAAGGTAACGGCACTCCATGCAGTCCTGCCAGCCACATGACCTTGGAGGTGTCTAGGGACAATGCCGGCTCTTCGGCACCAACCTCCAGAGTCGGACACGACTGGACTTAATGTCAGGGGAAAACCTTTACCTTTACCTAAACAACATCAACATCAACAATAATAATTATATAATAAATAACAACAACAACAAATCTAAAGTCCAATAATTCCACTTCAACAATGATTGTTTCCTAGAGCTCCTAAACTGCAGATCCCAAACTCAATCTCTCTTCCTCAACCACAGTTTTTGCTCTTGGCTTGTGTTTGTTCGTCTTGGAAAAAGGATACTGCTGCCGGCTATAACAGCGTCCGTTCGTCCATGCGTAGGAGACTGGCCAGGTTGACCTCCCTCCTCTGCCAGTTTTCTCCCTTCTCCTCCATTGTAGGCCACTCACTCTTGTCTGTTTCTTAATACATACATCTTTGGCGTCCGCTAGACCCCCAACTAATCCTTAATCTGGTTCCTGTCTGAACTAGCGGTAGCTCTTAACCATGTCCATTAACAGAAGCGAATGCGCCAAAGGTGTCGCAAATGGTGCAGCTCAGAAGGGATGGGGATGCAGGTCGTAATGGCACCAAATTTGTGGGTTTTTCTACTTGTAAACAGAAACTAAGGGTCCTTCCACAAAGCCCTATATTCCAGAATATCAAGGCACAAAATCCCACGTTATCTGGGTGTGGACTCAGATATCCCAGTTCAAAGCAGATATTGTGGGATTTTGTGCCTTAATATTTTGGAATATAGGGCTGTGTGGAAGGACCCTAAGGGAGCATTGCACATTGTCCCTCAAAAACAGAGGCATTGCTTGAAACTTTATGAATAAGTGGCTGAAATTAGTAAGTCGAGGGAAATCCATACTGAATTCTTATTTTTGATGCTTCTCAAAGTGATGCCATACTTCTCTAGGTCATGTTGAACTGCAAGTCACAGCTAGCAAAGCCTCAAATAAAGGATTTTGGGAGTTCTAGTTCATCAATGATGGCGCAGCGGGTTATACCGCTGAGCTGCTGAACTTGCTAACCAAAAGGTTGGCGGTTCAAATCCGGGGAGTGGGGTGAGCTCCCACTGTTAGCCCCAGCTTCTGCCAACCTAGCAGTTCAAAAATATGCAAATGTGAACAGATCAATAGGTAATGCTTCGGCAGGAAGGTAAGGGCACTCCATGCAGTCATGCTGGCCAGATGACCTTGGAGGCATCTATGGACAACGCCGGCTCTTCGGCTTAGACATGGAGGTGAGCACCAACCCCCAGAGTCGGACACGACTAGACTTAATGTCAGGGAAAACCTTTACCTTTAGTCCATCAGCACCTTTAAAATTCTTACCTCTCTCAATAGAGATGGCTCCAGTTTCAGGCTTTCGTACCACTACAGGCTTTCACTATAATTCTAATAGTTCTGCAGTTGAGTTAGAAACGTGGTTTATTTATTTATTCATTTGCTATATTTATATACCATCCGCCTCAGCCCTCAGGTGACTCGGGGTGGTTCACAGTAGGTACCAAGACCATAAAATACAATTAAAAACATTGAAATAATATAAAACCATAGCAAAATCAATAACAAACAGGACCCATGGTTTGTGCCAACTATGGTTTGGAGCGAGGTCTGGACAAACCACATTTGCAGTTGTTGCTGTTCCAGCATTCTTTACTGCTATCAACTAAATCTGTTGGGTGTTCAGATAATAGTGTTTGCAAACATATATATTTACGGCAAACACCCTGTCATATCTCCTTCCCAACCTGAAAGACTAACATAGCTTTGCTTTTCTAAATTGCAGAGCCCGTAAGGTGGAAGGAAGTACATATTGTACAACAAGGGAGGACAGAGAGAGACTGGGGAAAAAAAACAAAACAAAACAGGGATATCAAAAAAATTCAACAAACTTCTTTTAACATCATCTCGTTCCTCAAATTTTAAGAGAGATTTTGCTAGTTCTGGTAAAGCAGTGGTTCTCAACCTTTGGGCCTCCAGGTGTTTTGGACTTCAGCTCCCACAGTTCTTAACAGCTGGTAAACTGGCTGGGATTTCTGGGATTTGAAGTCCAAAATACCCAAAGCCCCAAAGGTTGGGAACCACAAGGGGCTGGCATGATACTCTATGCTCAGAAATGCATCCTATTAAGTACAGTGTTGCTCACACCCAGGTAAGTGTTTATAAGACTGAGCCTACGATTGGTGGACTAACAGGAGGCACCCTCCTGCCTTTAAATCAGTGGGTCCCAACCTTTTTTTGACAAGGGACCACTTGACCAGGGACCACTTTGACCAGGGACCACTCTCCAACATTAGTACCAAAAGCGTTACGAATCAGTTTTTGGTCAACTTCAGATTTGGTTTGGGGTGCTGATTCAGAAAATTTCATTGGATAGACCACCTCAGCTCTAGTTTCTGATACAGAACATATGCCATGGTCAGCAACAGGGAAAGAATGGCAGGCAGTGTGAAAGGAACGGAAATAAAATAGAATAAATTAATAAAGAGGAAGGAGGCTTGCAGGCCAGATTTTCATCCTCACAGCCTACTGATGGTCTGTGGCCTACACGTTAAGAACCACTGCTTTAAAATGATGCTCTGCGGCAGTTTTTTCCCTCTCCTTCTGCACTCCTTTTATTTTTGGAAGGGAAGGGAAATGACAACATACACGGAAACCGCTTTGAACTGTGGTCAGTAGCTTTTGCAAACAGTGAACCAATGTGGCAGCATTTAGACAAGGCAGGGGAACCTGTCAGCTCTATTAAAGACACATTTACGACCCCATCTATCCATCTGTTTATGTTTTTTCCCATTGGGATGGGAGTGTAGTCCTAAACTCCCCAACTCTCTAAGGCAGGGGTCCCCAAACTAAGGCCTGGGGGCCAGATACGGCCCTCCAAGGTCATTTACCCATCCTTCGCTCAGGGTCAACCTAAGTCTGAAACTACTTGAAAGCACACAGCAACAACAACAATCCTATCTCATCAGCCAAAAGCAGGCCCAAAGTGGGGTTTTTTGTTTTTTGTTTTTGTTGCACTACAAATAAGATATGTGCCGTATGCATAGGAATTCATTCATGTTTTTTTCAAATTATAATCCGGCCCTCCAACAGTTTGAGGGACTGAGACCTGGTCCTCTGTCTAAAAAGTTTGAGGACCCCTGCTCTAAGGACTTGGGACTTCAGTGATTACTCCTCTCTTTTCCATGGAGCTCCTGGTGGCACAGTGGGTTAAACTACTGAGCTGCTGAACTTGCTGACCAAAAGGTCGCCGTTTTAAATTCACGAAGCGGGGTGAGCTCTTAGCCCTAGCTTCTGCCAACCTAGCAATTCGAAAGCATGCAAATGTGAGTAGATCAGTAGGTACTGCTCCGCGAGAAGGTAATGGCACTCCATGCAGTCTTGCTGGCCACATGACTTTTGGAGGTGTCTATGGACAATGCTGGCTTTTGAGCTTAGGAATGGAGATGAGCACCCACCCCCAGAGTCAGACACAACTGGACTTAATGTCAGAGGAAAACCTTTATATTTTTATGTACCTCCTTGTTGGTGCTTACATTTTGCCCCCAAAGCTTCAAGCCTCGACTTCTTAAAAAGATCCCACCAACAACAGCCACAATTGGAGCATCTGATAGTCTTGATATTTCAATTTACAGGGCATCTGTGGAGCCCTCGGTGGCACAGTGAGTTAAACCTTGTGCTGGTAGGACTGCTGACCGAAACGTCAGTGGTTTGAATTCGTGAGATGGGGTGAACTCCTGTCTGTCAGCTCCAGCTTCTCATGTGGGGACATGAGAGAAGGGTAAAACATCCTGCTGTCCCCTGGGCAATGTCCTTGCAGATGGCCAATTCTCTCACACCAGAAGCGACTTGCAGACTACCAAATCACTCCTGACACACACATACAAAATTGGTCTTGTGATGCCTTAAAACACCTAAATAAGTTTGGGTTTAAGTCCTGAGTGCCTTCTAACTATAATAGACTCACGGAATCCACATAAAAGTGTTGATTTACAGAATTCCTACAGTTTGGAGCGTCTGATATGGTTTAAATTTACTGGAGGTCTTATCGGTGTTAGGAAGTTCTAAAGCAGAAGACAAGAACAGAGGCATAGGGAACACAAGTCAGAGTTTTGGCTGTTTTGGGTTATCATTTCCAGAATTGTTAGGGGGTTGGACTAGATAGCCTTTGTGATCCCATCCAATTCTTAATGTCTGGTGATTTGATACACCCCCTGCCTCCAGATTGACCCGTGGATTAGTCCCGTTCCATCATCCTAAGCCATGCTTGGTGCTGCCTTCAAACGAGACCCAAGACTTGAAACCCTATCTCGTTCCCTTTCTTTAAAAGTGGTTCAGCTACAAAGCCGAGGCCACCGTTTTGCCGTGGTCATTCAGACATGTGCTCTCTTCCTCGAGGCATTGCTCCGATTCCACATATCCATCATTCCAGCCTTAAGAAGAACGGGATCCTTTAAAGAGAGACTCCTCCTTGATTTTTTGGAGGGCCTGGTCGGACCTCCTTTGGCGCGTGCCTCCAGCCATTTTCGCTCACGACTTCATTTCCATTGTCTTCAGCCATATTGGGTTCCCCATCCCTCGCTTCGCGTCGCTTTTACTTGTGTGCCTCGTTTGTGTTTTGTTGTATTTTTTGTTGCAGTTTTTTTTTCCTATTCAGACGATGTAAACAACGCATCTCACACGGCATATGTGTTCTCCCTTCTCTCTCTCCCTCCTCCTTCCTTTTTATTTCGTGGCTTTCCCTTCTCATTTCCGTGGCCATTTCTCTGGCTGTGTGTTGGGTTTATTATTTTATTTTTTTTTGGCCTGCCTTGCTGTACCTCTTACTGCGCTTCCTAGATTCCAGTCGCGCAATCCTCTGTCATGGATGACATTGAGGAGTGGCTCAGTACCGACGTGGTAAGACTTCTCTTGGTTTGTTTGTTTATTTCTTTCCTGCATTATATACATATATATGTGTGTGTGTGCATTTTATATTTCAAATATTATCTTTGCCATCAGAGGGAAATGAGAGACTTCCATATTTGTATAGAGAATTAATCTTTCCATTATGAATCTCAGTTCTAACCAATAATGGATAAATAGAGATTTCAGTTCAACCAGGGGATGTATCACGTGGGGTACTCCTCAAGTTGTACCACTTGAATTACCCTATTTACGGAAAAACCCCGGTGGTGCAGCGGGTTAAACTGCTGAGCTGCTGACCGAAAGGTCAGAGGTTCGAATCCGAGGAGTGGGGTGAGCTCCCGCTGTTAGTTCCAGCTTCTGCCAACCTAGCAGTTCAAAAACATTCCAATGTGAGTAGATCAATAGAGTATTGATGTATTGATGCTGATGTTATGATGTTAATGATGTTAATGACTTGCGATGCTATTGTTTTTAAATGCATAATGATTTTGTATTCTGTATATCCAAACTGTAGTAAACCGCTCTGAGTCGCCTAAGGGCTGAGAAGAGCGGTATACAAATAAATAAATCAATAAGTACCACTTCGGTGGGGAGGTAATGGCTCCACCTAAGCATTAGGACGAATGTATTGTCGAAGGCTTTCATGGCCAGAATCACAGGGTTGTTGTAAGTTATTTGGGCTGTATGGACATGTTCCAGAAGCATTCTCTCCTGATGTTTCAACTGCATCTATGGCAGGCATCTGGTAGCCAGATTTTGTTCATTTTCATTGTTTTTTTCATGGTTTTCAGTATTAAAAATTATAAAATCATAGCAGTAAACAAAGAACAACATTCAAAAAACAGGGGAACTCCAGACAAGAAACAATCAGGAATAGCTAATCACCTCTCAAAAAAGTATCCCCCCAGATAGTAAGAAGCCACACCTTGAAACTGCCTCTTTTATGGGAAGGTAACGGTGCTCCATGCAGTCATTTATTTATTTATTTATTTACTTTACTTGTATACCGCAGTTTCTCAGCCTAACCGGTGACTCAACGCGGTTTACAACAAGGGTAAAATCAATCACAATATACAATTTAAAACACAAAAGCACAATATACAGTATTACACAACAATAACAACACAGTGCTTCTCATCACTAGAATCATGATCCAAATTCGTCGTCCATATTTCCATTCCTGTAATCGTCACATTCATTGCACTGATTAACCAAATGCCTGTTCGAACATCCAAGTTTTCAATCTTCTTCGGAACACCATTAGCGAGGGGGCTAATGGGAGGGGGCTAATTAGCGAGGGGGCTAATTACCTCCATGGGAAGGGCGTTCCACAGCCGAGGGGCCACCACAAAAAAAGCCCTGTCCCTCGTCCCCGCCAGCCGCACTTGTGAAGCAGGCGGGATAGAGAGCAGGGCCTCCCCAGAAGATCTCAGGGTCCATGCTGGCCACATGACCTTGGAGGTGTCTAAGGACAACGCCGGCTCTTCAGCTTAGAAATGGAGATGAGCACCACACCCCAGAGTCAGACATGTCTGGACTTAATGTCAGGGGGCAATCTTTACCTTTACCTAACAGCTTTCCATGCAGTCATGCTGGCTATATGACCTAGAAGATGTCTACGGACAACGCTGGCTCTTCGACTTAGACATGGAGATGCGCACCACCCCCAAGAGTTGGACACGACTAGACTTAATATCAAGGGGAAAACCTTTACCTTTATAATGCCTGCCATTGGAAGGGGTTGGTTGAAATGTTCAGGGCTTTTAGTATATTCTAGATCTCTTCCGAAAATTGCAGGGCTGCTATCGATATTTCTCATCTGGGTACAAGGAGTTACATCACAAGATAGGCTTCACAGGTTTCATTTGTCTAATGATCTGCAAGTTTGATTTGCTCGATTACATCAAATAAGATGCAAGCGCTTCCATGTCTGATATACAGTAAAAAAAAGGATCAACACAGAATGGTAATCCAGTTCAATGGAGGGAAGGCTCATGACAACCTAGGCTTCAGGGGTTTTCTGTTGGGGTGATTTGAGCTCTGTGGAAGGAGGAAGCCAACGCTCACCGCTTTAGTTCTCCTATATAAGAGAAATGTATACGTGTGTATGAAAAGTCAGCCTCAAAGGCTTGTCTCCTTCCTCTCCCAACGCTTCTTTTCCTGGCATGAACTGGGGACACATTGTGATCATAGGAGTCCTTCAACTACATACACAGAACCCTCAAAACTGGTGCCCTCGTGCCCCAGAAACAGGACAATGTAGGCCCTGATAGTGTTGGGAATCAGAGCTGTTAGGGTCAAAATTATTTATTTATTTATTTATTATTTATTTAGAGCTTTTATAACCCGGTCTTCTCGGCCTCCGAGGAGGGACTCAGGCCAGCTAACAACAGAGAATCAATATACAAATAAAGTAAAACATAATAACATCATAGTACATTAATACATCAAAACACATTAAAATACAGATCAAGAATTACATAAAGCCAATTTGTCAAGGTAAATCACAAATTCACCACCATCCGCCTTGTGGTCAACAGTTATTGATTCGATCATCAATCTGAGAATGCTAAGTTCCAGAGCCAAGATTTTACCATCTTTCTGAAAGTCAGGAGGGAGGGGGCAGATCTGATCTCTTTCGGGAGAGAGTTCCACAGCCGAGGGGCCACCACCATGAAGGCCCTGTCTCTCGTCCCCACCAGACGCGATTGCAAAGGTGGTGGGACCGAGAGCAGGGCCCCTCCAGAAGATCTTAACAACCTTGATGGTTCGTAGGGGAGAATCCGTTTGGACAGGTAAACTGGGCCGGAGTCGTTTAGGGCATGTCCCCCTGCTTAAGCCAGTATATGTCCGGGGCCAACTGAAGTGTGCTAGAGAGCATTTGGATGATCCAGAAGTGCATTGGGAGAATGTCATATGGTCAGATAAAACCCAAGTAGAACTGATTAGCAGAAACACAATTCATCCTGTTCGGAGGAGAAAGAATGCGGGGTTGCATCCACAGAACACCATTCCTTGGGGTGATTCTGCCTTAAATATAGCAGAGAACTAGAAGTAAACTTGATAATTAGCAGAAACTCATGCGTGGTGAGCTAGGATAAGTTTCCATTCAACAGGATTGCAGAGACAGGATTGCGGAGACAAAACTTTAGGTTCAAAATATCGATTCAAGAAAAGAAATACATTCTAGATAGAAAAGGCTTGGAGCTAACGAACTTCTAAAACTCATATTCTAAGGAAGGTAAAAGGGTAAAAAGTCAAAATATCCATGCAGTTACATTTTGCCTGGAGAGAGGCAAAATGCGTCCTCACTGGAAGGAAGACAAAGGCAGAGAGAGTGGAGAAAAAAACCACATGGCCAAACCCAGGGCAGTAAAAATACCTTTAAAGGGGAAGTTACCTCATATATCAAAGAGATTCCATTGCTACATCTTCAAAGAGTGGCAAGCAAGAAGAGTAAAGGCAAAGGCCACTTCTGGGATAAGCATGCATAGGAACGTCGTGGTGGTGGGGAGGGAGGAATATTGCCCTCTAATCCTGTCTCTAGCTACTCATTGAGGACTGGAGACTTGATGACACTATAAACTTGTTCAGTCCAAGGATGAAACCCAACAGATAGAGATGATGGCCACAGAAATTCAAAGTATCCCGAAGGCATCAGGCTGGCAAAGCCTTCCTATGATTCATGGAAGATGTATAGCTTAAGTTGGCAATCGTTCTATTGTCGGAAGCGACTCCATGCTGCAGTGTACTTGGAGATCCTTTGAATCGTGCGTTGATCTGTTCTTTCTCCTCTTCTCTTCCCTCCTTGCAGAAAGGCGACGAGCTGGAAGAAGGGGTGACGAGCGAAGGTAATGGCGGAGGCGCTGGGACAGAGGCCCCCGCTAATGGTCTGGCCAGGGACAAAGCACCTGCAGGGCTCTGTGTGTATTATGAGTTGGTTCTTCCAGCGCATGGGGCCCCGGGGGAAGGGGGTCTGGCCCTTGGAGGAAGGAGGGCTACGTCCCGGTCTTCACAGCAGCAAACGGGGTGCTGTAGGGGCTGGAAGAGGTGTGAGGTTTAAGGACCACAGGCCTAAATTTGGACCACTTGAGGTCCCACAGGCAACCATGCTGTAGAAGTCCCTAACTTTTTGCTGATAGTTGTGGACACCACAATCCAAGAAGAATATGTACGAAATGGATGTGGTCCAGAGAAGGGTCACCAAAATGGTCAGCCATGATTGTGGGAGTCCCTTCCTATCTTTTTGGTGATAGTTGTGGACACCACAATCCAAGAAGAATATGTACGAAATGGATGGGGTCCAGAGAAGGGTCACCAAAATGGTCAGCCATGCTTGTGGGAGTCCCTACCTAACTTTGTGGTGCTAGCTGTGGACACCATAATCCAAGAAGGATATGGATGAGACTAAAGGGGTCCAGAGAAGGGTCACCAAAATGGTCAGCCATGCTTGTGGGAGTCCTTTCTTAACTTTTTGGTGCTAGCTGTGGACACCACAATCCAAGAAGGATATGGATGAGACCAAAGGGGTCCAGAGAAAGGTTATCAAAATGGTCAGCCATGCTTGTGGGAGTCCCTTCCTAACTTTTTGGTGCTAGCTGTGGACACCACAATCCAAGAAGGATATGGATGAGCCCAAAGGGGTCCAGAGAAAGGTTATCAAAATGGTCAGCCATGCTTGTGGGAGTCCTTTATTAACTTTTTGGTGATAGCTGTGGACACCACAATCCAAGAAGGATATGGACGAAATGGTAGGGGTCCAGAGAAGGGTCATCAAAATGGTTAAAGGTCTGCAAGCCATGAATTCCTATGAGGAGCGGTTTAGGGAGCTGGGTATGTTTATCTTGAAGAAGAGAAAGCTAAGAGAAGGGGGAAATGATAGCCCTGTTTAGATATTTTATTGAGGAGGAGGGAAGCTTATTTTATGCTGCTCCCCAGTTTGAATCCAGAAGCAGGGTGAGCTCCCGCTGTTAGCCCCAGCTTCGGCCAACCTAGCAGTTGTGGAAACCTTTATCTTTACATTTTGTTTTCCTATTCCTGACCTGGACAGTGTGATTGATGCACCCCAAGGCATACCTTTCGAAAGATCACAAACGATTTTCGAAAACTCTCTTTCTGTACTGCAGTATGAGGCATTGCTTCAGAAGCCTGTTGAACCAACATGAAATGTTCGGAAAGCTCTGCTATAGATTATTTCCTTAGTTGATTTGAGCATTTTTAAGGGGGGAAATGAGAGCTGTATGCGACGGCAGGTGGGACATCTATCGGGAGGGACTGTATGGTGGCAGAACAGGGTTCTAAGATGAATGAGCATCTGGTGTTGGCGGCTGCATCGTCCCTGAATCATCCTGTTCGTCTCTTTCAGAGTTCGACAAGTTTTTGGAGGAGCGGGCCAAGGCTGCCGAAAGAGTCCCCGACTTGCCCTCGCCGCCCCAGGAGGAGCCTGCGGTCCTCGCGACGAACCCCAACAAGAAGAAACCGGAACGTTCGGAAGACGCCCTTTTTGCTCTTTGAGGCTCCTTTGAAGGATGCAGAGCTTGCTTTGCGACGTTCGGCTTCACAGCAAGCTCCCCGGTCTCCCAGGTGCCCAAATAAGCTAACTTTTTGCACGAGACCGACGTCCCGGTTCGGCCTCGTCCCTCCTGTGGCTGCTTCCAATCCCTTCTTCGCCTCCAGGTCTACAAATATTGGGGTTTTCCCTGGTCCTGTCTTTGGTTTCCTTTGAAATGCATGAGTGCTGTCGCCTCCTAGATACTTGTCACTAGGTTCGGAGTGGATTTTGGAGTTTTCCGTTCTGGCGTTTCTCGGGAGCCGATCCGAAGCACACAAATTTGCGCATAGCGTTGATCTTATGAAAAAAAAAAGATACCCTTCACACTACTATTCCCCCCACTTCCAGCACTGAAAAAAATGCATTGCACATCTCACCTGCTTCTTTCACTTCCCTACTTTAGGCAAATCAAGGTTTCCTTTGGCGTTCACATTCGTAGGTTTCGTAGGTGACCCATTGAGTTTTTGAGGGCCACCTTTGCTCCTCCTCTTCCTAAAGCAGGAAGTCCATCTTGGAGGAAAGTCACAATTATTATCAGCCAGGTTTGCCCATATCAACATGGCTTGGCTGGCGTACCGATGAGTTGTCCGGGTTCGGAGCAGATTCTCCAATCTTGTCTTCCATTGAGTCTTAGCAAACATTTTGTTTTTTTGTTTTTGTTTTTTAATTTTTTTTTTTATTTTATTTTTTTTAGCAAACATTTTGGCAGTTCAGAGTGGGACACGATTTGTGTTTTTGCAGACTGAAAAGGTATCCCCTCTTAGAGCCCTATATCAACACAATCCTTTCCTCCTCTTCACTATCGAAAATATGAAATGGAAACGCCTCCCGTTCTGGTTGCAGCTCGGGTCTCGTTCGGCCTTTCGGGGTTTTTCCAACCATTTTTACGGAGTGAGGAATTGGAAGTCGTGCTACGAAGCAGTGGCTGCATCTACACCAGACATGGGCCAACTTGGCTTCCTAGTTTCCAGACCTTTGGCCAGGCATGGGCCAATTTGGGTCCTTCAGGTGTTTTGGACTTCAACTCCCACCATTCCTAACAGCCTCAGGCCCTTTCCTTTCCCCCCTCAGCCGCTTAAGCGGCTGAGGGGGAAAAGGAAAGGGCCTGAGGCTGTTAGGAATGGTGGGAGTTGAAGTCCAAAACAACTGAAGGACCCAAATTGGCCCATGCCTGATCTAAACTAGAATTAATGCTGCTTGGCACTGCTTTGGATCCACACGATGGGATCCAGGGAGTTGTAGTCCACCCTTTTGTGAAAACTACAACTCCCAGGTCCTCATATAGTACTGAGCAATTGAGGAGGTATCAAATTGCATCAGTTTTACAGTGTAGATGCAATGCGTGCAAAAGGCGTAGCGTCGGAAACACTTCGGGATTGATAATTTCAGAGTGGAAGGAATTCTGGCATTGGTTATTAAAAAATAATAGTAATTCCGAAGGCTTTCAGGGCCGGAATCACTGGGTTGTTGTAGGTTCTTTCGGGCTATATGGCCATGGTCTAGAGGCATTCTCTCCTGACGTTTCGCCTGCATCTATGGCAAGCCTCACTACCTCTGAGGATGCTTGCCATAGATGCAAGCAAAACGTCAGGAGAGAATGCGTCTAGACCATGGCCATATAGCCCAAAAAAACCTACAACAACCCAATAGTAATTCCCCAGGTAACGTAGTGTGGGAATCCATAATTCTACAAAATACTGTAGTAGGAATAGTTAATGACACTAAATTAAGGCACTAATGAGACCTTTTCCTTGAGGTTTGTGTGGTTTGCGGGTATCGGGTCGCATTTGGTTCCTGTGCTCGAAAGGAAATGTCTTCCGTATTGTTGAAAGCTTCCATGGCCGGAATCACTGGGTTGCTGTGAGTTTTCCGGGCTGCACGGCCATGTTCCAGAAGCATTCTCTTCTGATGTTTCGCCTGCATCCATGGCAGGCATCTTCATAATCTCTGAAGATGGCTGTCATAGATGCAGGTGAAACGTCAGGAGAGAATACTTCTGGAACATGGCCATACAGCCCGAAAAACTCACAGCAACCCATAAAAATGTCCTCCATTTTTCTCCTTTCTTCCTTTTAATACCTCGATGTGCCCAGCGGTCCAAATGGGGGGAGAAAACACTGAATTCTTTCTCTTTTTGGAATAGAATTCCTATTGTGTTAACAGGTCAATCTTCCGCCTTTTCTTTCCTGATCTTGTATTGGCTGCAGTGGCAAAATCTGTTATGAATCCTGACTGTTTGCACTACTTTCTGAACGAAAAGAGAAAAAAAAGAGCGGATTGAATTAAAGTCAATTCACTTGGAAGCAGAGAAGGAAGCCCTGCCTTGTCCTTCCAGGGTATTGGACTGCAACTCCCATGATGTGCTTTTAGTCCAGCCTGTGTCCTGGTTCAAGGAAGATGTGCTTGGTTGGCAATTTTCCTCTTTTTGGGAGGAAAAAAAAACTTTTTAGTTGTGGATTACAACTTCCAACATACTGGCCTTTAGCCAGGAATGCTGGGAGTTGTAGTCCAACCGCATTAAAAAGGGCCCCAATTGGCTTCAGAGGTCGGTTGAGGTTTGGGCAACATTTGGAAAACTTTTTTAAAAGTTCTTGATATTATAAATCTTACATATTTCAATCTGAAAATATCTTTCCAAATAGTTTGTGATACTTCCTTGTGAGTTTTAGGATGGCCTTGCAAAATAGCAAAATACCCTTTCTTTGGGTTGCTGTGAGTTTGCCATATTCCAGAAGCATTCTCTCCTGACATTTCGCCCACATCTATGGCAGGCATCCTCAGAGGTTGTGAGGTCTGTTGGAAACTAGGCAAGTGAGATTTATATATCTGTTGAATAATGTTAGCATTTAATGGCCTTGCAGCTTCAAAACCTGGCTGCTTCCTGCCTAGGGAATTCTTTATTGAGAGGTGTTAGCTGGCCCTGATTGTTTCCTGTCTGGAATTCCTTTTCCAGTTCTAAGAAGTGATCCCCCTGCAGGAAGCAGCCAGGCTTTGGAGCTGCAGCACCATTCAGTGCTAATGAAGCTGGCCAATTGCAACGTTCACACTTGCCTCAAGCAGACAAGAGTTCTTTCTCCTACCCTAGACATTATTCCATAAATAAACCCCACTTGCCTAGTTTACTACAGACCTCACAACCTCTGAGGATGCCTGCCATAGATGTGGGTGAAAAGTCAGGAGGGAATGCTTCTTGAACATGGCCGGACAGCCTGGAAAACTCACAGCAATCCATTGATGAAAACCTTCGACAACATACTTTTTTATTTTTAATGTTCTGATATAGAGTCCACACACTTTTGAATTATTTTTTATTAGATTTTCAAACCCTCTATTTACAGCTTATATCCTTTTTCAGCATAATTACCCACTTCCCAAATAGATTCTTAATTAATTTAATTTTAATTATTTTTTAAAAAAACAATTACCATTTATATCCTCCAACTTGAAACTATCCACTTCCCAAATAATTTTTAAATAAATTTTAAAACCAGCTTAAGTCCCCCGATTCCTTCTCTAGATTAGGATGTACTACAAATCCCGGCATCCCTTACCACTGGCTGAGGCTGATGGGACTTGGAGTCCGAAATCAAGTGAAGTCTTATGCATAAAAAAAGAGAGAGGGGGAGAGAATTGCAAAAACCAGGCACAGCTTCCATGAACCAGGAATGGAAAAATAACACATTATGGGAGTTGTAGTCCTTAAATGGGATTTATAGTTATCTAATAGATATCCCTTCTGTATTATGGTACTTACAACCATGCATTGGCATTCCTAATCCATTAAAAAAAGCAAACCTTCCTATAGAATATCTTATTTTAAATATATAAATATATATACATTTTAAAACATCACAATATGCTCTTTTTTCCCCCCTTCTGCTGTTACATCCCCTTGAACCCGCGTCTTCGAATATCCCTCTGTATATTTAAGTGAGAAGTGGAGAATATTTATTTCCTGAAAATGTGTGTTTTTTGGGGTGCCGGGAAAGGGAATTAACTTCTTTTTTTAATGTAAAGACCGCTCTGTATAAATAATAATAATAATAATAATAATAATAATAATAATAATAATAATAATAATAATTGTTCAATGCCTTCACAACTGTCCCGGGTCTCTCTCTCCATCTCTCTCTTTCTCTCTTTTAGATGTTCTTCAATGTATGGAGAAAAAGGAAGTCCCTTTGGTGTGTGGTTTTCCCTTTTTATTATTATGTGTTAACAAACCTTGCCGTCGTTTTAACTCTTCATCCTTCTGTGTGTCTTTCTCTGTACATTTTTTTCCTGTTCTTGCATGTGGAAATAAAAAACACACACTAAGAATATTCCAATAATAAAACAAACGTTAGTCGCAAGCTGTCAAAACGACTCCCATTTGCCTCTCGGGAACTGAAATGGTTTGTAGGACTGTTGGGCATCCCTTCTGGCAAAGGTTTTCCAGCCCAAAAGGGGATCTTTATTTATTATTTACGAAAGGGCGTTCATTGAAGTTTCCCCTTGACCCACTTCTATTTATCACAGGATGCTGAAACTGCACATGTGTTCTGTCGCGTGCTGGGCCTGTAACAGCTGTACATTTCTATAGGACATATACTTTAAGCCCAGCGGGAAGCCAGGGGTGCCTCAAAGAGAGATTCTCAAGGATTTTTCTGAAGTGATGGTCTTTAGAGTCTTTAGAGTCTTTAATGATACAACAAAGTCTTTATTATGGAACAAACAACAAATCTTTTTTCGATAATTACAAGCTGGATAGATGCGGGGAATGCCGTGGATGTGGCGTACCTGGATTTCAGTAAGGCCTTCGACAAGGTCCCCCATGACCTTCTGGCAAGGAAACTATTCCAATGTGGGCTAGGCAAAACTACGGTGAGGTGGATCTGTAATTGGTTAAATGGACGAACCCAGAGGGTGATTCTCCCCAAGGCTTCCTCTTCATCCTGGAAAGAAGTGACAAGTGGAGTGCCGCAGGGTTCCGTCCTGGGCCTGGTCCTGTTCATCATTTTTATTAATGACTTAGATGAAGGGTTAGAAGGCAGGATCATCAAGTTTGCAGACGACACCAAATTGTGAGGGATAGCCAATACTCCAGAGGACAGGAGCAGGATTCAAGACGATCTTGACAGATTAGAGAGATTGGCCAAAACTGAGGAGTACAAGGTATTAGCGTTCGCGGATGACCTTGTTTGCATAATGGAGAGCCCAGCCCAAAATATTCAAAAATGGATAAGCAAAATAGAAGACTTCGGACAATTTGCAGGCCTCAAAATAAACAGGGAAAAAACAAAAATGTTAACCAAAAATGTTAAAATAGAAGGGAAGGACAAAATCCATAAAGACTCTGGGA